GTGTGTTAATGCAACCCATTTCTCCTTTTCGCCATTCATCTCAGTTCTCCAGTAAATGGAAAAATAGAGATTTGCAAATCAAAAAATCCCTTCCTTTCTTTCCTTTATTCCTTTCTTCCTTCCTTCCTTTTCTTTTCCTTCCTCCCTTCCTTTCTTTCCTCTTCCCTTTCCTTTTTTGATTCCTTCTTTCCTTTTTTCTTCCTTTTATTTATTTCTTTTTTCCTTTCTTCCTTCCCTTCTTTCTCTCTCCCTCTCTCTCTTGCCTCGTTTGCTTGCTTCTTTCTTTCTTTCCTTCCTTGCAAACGTTTCCGATCTCTTCACCTGGAAACAGAACATTCCCAGGAGAGACGGCTGAAGTTTCTGCTTTTCCCACGCTATGATCCTCACCGTAGACTTTTCTGATTCTTGACAGTGACCCACCCATTCACAGAACGATCGCTGTAACTAGTCCTCCCAAATTAATGAATTAATTAATTCTGATTCATTCTAGCCCTCGCGCCCTAGAATTAAAAAGTCATTTTGCACCTCCAGCCTCGCGCCCGCACACGCACACACACACACACACACAAAAACACAGAGAAAGAGCACCGGGCTTGGAGTCCTCACTACGCATGCGCGCCACAGACCCGGCGAATAGGTACAGGAAGCGCCTGCGCGGAAAAGGGAAGAAGGAGCGAGATCGGAGACTATCAACTGCGCCTGCGCCGGCTGTCCAGGTGGCTTCGCGCCTGGTTACCTGGAACGCGGAGGCTGCAGGTGAGGCGGAAGTGCATTCCTGGGGAAAAGGGCGGGCAAGGCGCGTGCACGTGGGCTTCTTGCGGAGAGGGGAGGCGAGGCGAAGGTAAGGGGCTGCGTTTTCACGCAGGAAAGGCAGTGGGGCAGGGGTTTGCTGAAAGAAGGGGGGCTTGGTTGGAGGATGGAGGGGGCAAGGTGCTGCGAGTGGGGGGACCTGGGTTCATTTGAGGCCCCCTCCTCGTTATCCCCTTCCTCGTTATCCACCTCCTTGTCTCACCTTCCCGTTCGTCGTATGGTTGCCTGCAAGACGAGAGTGCCCTTGAGCATAATCAGAGTGCCTGCCTGCCTGCCTTCGGCATCAGCAACCAGCTCCCTGCCCGTGTTTAGGGTCCTACTTCGATTATCTGTCAGTTTGCACAGCAGCAGATGGGATGGTTATGTCCCATCAATTCAGCGTCAACTTTAAACCAGTACAGAAATAAGATTTTTATTTTTTTTTTGCATGATCATTAATCTAGTCTTTGGGGTCTTCCAACAGTGCACCCATCGCTGTTGCCCATCCACCAAATATATTAGGACGACAGAATAAATGTGTATAATTAAGAACTGATTGCACAAAGCATTGCCTTTTGGGGTTTTCCTGCATTGCACCCTGCTAAGTTTTGCATCGTCCAGAGAGAGCATTGTAATCTCTTTTCCATCATAAATTGAATAATAAATATAATAGTCGTATTAGAAGTAGAATGGATTTATGCTTTTTAGTATGAGCGTTGTAAGTAGTAAAGGGAAGATGCATCGCAAAACATGAGCAGTCTAAAATGATTGTTGCTACCTCTTGTCAGCTGGAGTGGATGTTGATACTTCAAACAATCTAAATTATTGAAGTTACAGAGCTGTTGTTGCATAAATACAAAAGACTAGATGTTAAACGCCTATTTATATATTTTTTTTCCTCTCTTCACGTTATGCTAAGTTCAAATGCACCAAATTGGTAAACTTGAAATGGCCGATATCCTACAGATTAAATAAACAAAAGAAAATTGCCCTTGTTTATCATTTTTATAGTGTTTTAATTGGTGCTTCATAAAAGTAATTATGCCTTCAGGAAGTAAACATTAAGTATGTACTGCAAAGCTACATCATAGATGTTTGCTTTCAGATTTGTTTTCAAGAAGTTCAAGAGATTATAATTGAACTGATTTTAACCACGAGTTACCAATTAAGCTATAATTTTTCTCATGACTTTTGATTGAAAAGCCATTTAGAGAGAGGAAAAGGCTACATTGATATTAAAAGCATTTAAAATAATTGAATGCAGCAGTTTAACCACAACTAGAAGTAGTTTCACATTCTTAAAGGTAAGTTTTTAAATTTTCAGACAACCCCTTAGATTTTTAATCTGAGAATTAGATATTCAGTCATCCTGGCTATATTCTCATTTGTACTTTCTCTGAGGAAAGATCTTGGTTAGGCAAGCTGAAGTTTTATAGTAGTTGCAAATTCTTGAATTTCTTATAACCATCCAGCAAGCTAGATGCTTAAAAGCTTATTTTTTTCTTTTCTAGAAAGAAAAAAAATAAACATCGGTACTGATTTTTTTTTACCAAATCTGGTTAGTTCAGATCTATTGGTCTCTCTCAGTTGAAGGCTATAGATTCAATTTAACAGCTGAGAAAAGTGTAATTTCAAGGGGAATTTGTGAGTTTATAGGTTCATTTGATCATTTTTAGTATGTGTAAGAGAGTAATGTTGGGGTTTCATTATACGATTAAAAAAGGGCTTTGTTAGACTAAGCTGCAGTTATTTGTTTCCATTTTCAAGTTATAGGTTATTATAACCTAGTTATAGGTTTGTATTTCTAGTTCTCGACTTACGACAGTTGGGATCTGAATTTTGACGTTGCAACGGTCATAAATGTGATGGCTGGTTGTAATTGGTCTCAAGCATATACCAGTTCCATAAGCCTTGTCAAATATATAAAAATATGATGAAAAAAATAACATGGATAAATAACAGTGATAATGTACTAACATCCAGCTTCGTGTTAACTTCTTTCCAGCAAAGCTGTTTTAATAATTGTACCTTTAAACACGGTATAATCTTTCTCTACGGAAGAAATACTTATTTCTTCACAATGTGTTTTTTCTTTTTTTACTAAAATACTATAATACAGTATTGCTCTTGAGAGCTATAAAACCAAATTCAATGCTGTGAACACAATGAACAAAAAACTAATTTAGGTGAGATCTATTGGTATAAGTGTCAGATGACTCCTATCAAGTCCGTGGTTAGAAAGCTGTGGGAACACAAACCTGTCAATGTAGGTCATAATGACCTGGTTTTTCTGGATAATGACAACTATTCAGTTATAGGGTAGGGAATACAGCATTGTATTTGGAGAAATCTTACCCCCTTATCTGTAAACTCATCTACCGAATTTCAAATTGCTAAGAAGTCTTCTGGCAGTTAGTGGTAATAGTACATCCTTCACTTTGTTAATGAATCTGTGCAATTAAAAACTTGGGTAGCAGCTCATATTAGCCGTGATGTATGACTGTGACAAATAGTCCATTTTCTTGGTCTACCAATGATATCTTTAAAGTGATGAATTAATCAGGTAATTAATAGAAACTCTATTAGCTTATCACCACTGTTAATATGGCTATTAACGCCATGCTTATTGGGGTAGGAAATGAAAGCTTAAATGCACAAAGCTTAATGCATAAACATAAATTGGCGCTAGACAAGGATCAACGGAATTCACGGGGCTGAACGTGGGTCTCTTGTGGCAACGCAATGACTTTAAACTGATGACACGTTTAACCCCGCCTTCCAGCTCAGCCTGCTCTTCTAGAGAAATACTGTTAGTTGCCTGTATTAGTCATATATTGTATAACGTGAAATAAGTATCCAGCTTTCTGTAAATGCTTGCTTTGCATTTCTTCTTGACTCCCACTGCTGAACTGCAAGAAAAACCAACCCTTGAACCCAATTTGCACGTACCACTGGTCATGTGCTTGGGTTGCAAAGCCAGGCAGTTGAGTAAGGACAACAGCTTTATCTCTTCCCTTCAGCCCGCTTCCACTTCCTTCCTGAGAAGCAAACCACAATTCCAAGAACTGAGTTTAGACTAGAGAACGAGGAACTCAGTTGCACACAAGCCTGTACAGTGTATAAACCTACTATTTGGGCAGGGGCTCAAATATTCCTCTGGTCACATATTTACTATTGATCAGTTCTTTTCAGAATGTTTGAGATTTTTTTAAAAAAAAAAACTTGGCTCATAGATAAAAGAACAAATGGTGGTTTGCAGTAAGAAATACAGAGAAACTATTAGTGGAATTGTAACCTTACTCCACTGTACTAATTAGTACACAAGACAAACAAAAATAAGTTTTATTCATTCTCTAAACCAGCAAGAATTTATCGTGGTTGAGGATTCTGGAAATAGTTTTTCAACTAAGGGAATACAAGATGGTTGGGCTGGCTAGTTTAATCAAACCAATGGTAAAAGTAAGTTTCTAAACCAGTGTTTCTCAGCCTGCAGAATGATAAGGGGACATCAGCTGCTCTGAGAATTCCCCAATCAGCATAGTGAAATTTTGGGAACTCAGATCTGCATATCTGGAAGTTGCCCAGGTGGAGAAATATGGTGGGAGATCTTAAAATTGTATATTGAATGGTCTCTTGTGTATGCTTTTGTAAAAAGAAAACCCTGTAGCCTTTTGTGGATTAAAGTGCTATAAATTACTGTTCGTTATTGTTAGATTATAATTGGTGAGATCTTTTGTTAGGTCGGTGAGTTTGCAGTTACAAAGCCATGCAGGAAAATCTAGGAGTGTGTGATCTTCTAGAAAATTCTGTTTCTATTATCAAACACTACTGTATCTCAAACTTTTGTTATGTATGAGATGGCCATTGACTGCCATTTATAATAATCTATCGTGATCTTCCATATTTATTCTGTAGGTACTTAATGCAATCAGAGATTGTCTCTTAGCTTCTCAAGTCTTCCCCTGAGAGAAGCATTGGTTTGCGAGTTAATTGGTTGTACACGTTATTAAATATAAGCTGTTGCCTACATAATTCCATTAAAAAAAAGCTATCTTGAACTGGTAACGTATCCTCACTCCTGTACAATTAGCAACAAAGGGGGCAATCTGAAACTTCCATATTTAAATAACCTTTTGTTCTCTTGCAGGAAACAGAGTAAACCTTCCAAGGGACTACTAAAACGAAATCTCTTATGTCTTGTCTTTAAGAACGTCTTGGCAACTATGGGTGAATACAGTAGGTTTATAGATTGGGACAAGATGGATGCTACCATCCAGGCTCACGATGGGAAGGAACTGACCAGTCCCGAATTTCACACTGAAATTCTGAAACCACTGGCTCGCCAAGGTTACTGGGCCAAGAGCCACTCTTTAAGAGCCAAAGTGTACGATAAATTGATCAGCTGTATCCCTTGCCGCACGGTGACACCGGATGCTCACGTCTACCGAGACATTGTGGTGAAAATTGTCGGCAAGCGAAACAGCAGCGCTCTTCCCCTTCCGGAATTTGTAGATAATAGCTTGGTTCCCACGTACTGCCTGAACGCTGAGGGCATCGGGGCCGTCAGGAAAATCATCTCCTGTGTCGGAAGCCAGTTCCCAGACATCTCCTTCTGCCCGGCTCTGCCTTCCGTGGTGGCCCTCCTCCTCCACTACAGCAGGGATGAAGCTGAATGCTTTGAGAAAGTTTGCCGCATCTTGGCCTGCAATGATCCATCCAAGCGCTTCATCGATCAGACCTTCTTGGCTTTTGAGTCATCTTGCATGACTTTTGGGGATCTGGTTAACAAGTACTGCCAGGCAGCTCACAAACTTATAGTAGCCATCTCTGAAGATGTGTTAGAGGTCTACTCGGATTGGCACCGGTGGCTCTTTGGGGAGCTGCCCCTCGTCTACATCGCCCGCGTCTTTGACGTGTTCCTGGTAGAAGGTTACAAGGTGCTCTACCGCGTCGCGCTGGCCCTCCTCAAATTCTTCCACAAATTCAGAGTGGGGCAGAGCCTGGAGTCGGAAAACGTGCAGCAGGACATCCGAGCGTTTGTGAGGGACATCGCCAAGTGGGTGTCTCCCGAGAAACTGCTGGAGAAGGCTTTTGCAATCCGTCTCTTCTCGCGGAAAGAGATCCAGCTTTTGCAAATGGCCAATGAGAAGGCCCTTCAGCAGAAAGGCATCACGGTGAAACAGAAAAGGTAGTGGGATTTCCTTAAAAAGCCTCCCCATATGGAGGCTTTTTAAATCTGGCAACAAAATTCTTGCTTTATGGGGAATAAAACGTTGCTGTAAAATCGCGTGTATCTATGCATCCATCTTCAATTTGCATCCATCCTCAAATACAATCAGTGCAGATAATCCTCAGCTTACCGCCACAGCTGAGCCCAAAATTTCTATTGCTAAGTGAGACAGTTTTTAAGTGAGTTTTGCCCCGTTTTATGACCTTGCTACAGTAATTAAGCGAATCACCGCAGCTATTAAGTTAGTAACACGATTGTTAAGAGAATCTAGCTTCTGCATTGACTTAGCTTGTCAGAAGATCGCAAAAGGTGATCACGTAACCCTGGGACATCATCATAAATACATGCCAAGCATCCAGATTTTGGTCACATGACTGTGGGGATGCTATTAACGGTCGTAAGTGTGAAAAGGGGTCCTAAGTGATTTTTCAGGGCCGTTGTAACTTCATATGGTCACTAAATGAACTGTTAAACCATTCCTGACAGATGATTATCTAGTGAAGGAGACTCTAACACCTCTTTGGTTAGAAATTCCTCTTCAAACTTTTCCTCACTGCTGCAAGACATTTCCTAGTGGGGATTTGAAATCTGCTTTCTGGTATCTTGAATTACAATTTTGGGGTGTTGCATTCTGGAACTTTGAAGAACAGAGTTACCCTTTTGTCTGTTTACCTTTTAGGGATCTGAAATAGAAACTTCAGTGAAGGAAAGTTTCCCAGCTGCTGACTGACTCAAAATAGAAAGCTTAAAATAATTTAGCAGCAAAATCAATAACTGATATTTCGTGCACGTAAAGGGCATCATTTCTAAAGCCATATAAATCCATTCCCTGTAGCTTTTGAATTCAGTTTCCCACAAGCCTTACCATTCAGCATCCTCCAGGTAATAATAATAATAACAATAACAACAACAACAACAACAACAACAACAACAATAATAATAATAATAATAATAATAATAATAATAATAATAATAATAATAATAATAATAAAGTTGGAAGGTACCTTGGAGGTCATCTAGTCCAACCCCCTGCTCAGGCAGGAAACCCTATTCCATTTCGGACAAATAGCTGTCCAGTTTCTTCTTAAAAACTTCCAGTGTTGGAGCATTCACTGCTTCTGGAGGCAGGTTGTTCCACTGGTTAATTGTTCTAACTGTCAGGAAGTTTCTCCTTAGTTCTAGGTTGCTTCTCTCCTTGATTAGTTTCCAATATATTCAAATATATTCCACACTCCTGGATTAAAAAAAGAAAAAGATAAGAGCTTGTGAAAGTTGATGCTAGAATGAATGTGAGCTTTTAACATTTGGTTTAGATAACACCTTCGCTGCATTCACACATTTGGATTCATGTAGCAGGGATAGGAATCTAAAAATGGCTATTAAGACTCCTTTCTAATGGATCCTGCAGTCTCTTGCTACTGAAATCGTAAGACATAATCTGTTACAGCAAATGTATTGCTGATGCTTTGTCTTTAAAGTCTTGGAGAAAGCAAAGATAAAAGTGAACTTGAGGCAAGTTAGTCAGGAAAATGTTCTGTCCCAGCCTACGTGAGTCCTTGTTAAGCTCACGAGGAGAAACCCCTCTTCCAACAAGCAGGCTGGAACCGCAGGAAAAAACCAACCCCCTTTTATTATTCACAGACCTGAGTCAATGTGCAAGGCAAACAAACACAGTTCACAGAAACTCGATCCTCAACAAAAACAGCTGCCTTTGGCAACCAGCACCTCCCACACTTTCCCTTTTATTATGCAGCCAAGGCGTGGCTTCCTAATGCCTTCTCCTTTGCCTTTGGAGCCGCCCCATTGCCTTCCTCTGTCCTACTCGCTTCTCTTGCCTGTGCATTCGTGCATCTGGGATTTGTCCCAGCTGTTCCTCATCACTGTCCAACTCAGGCTCCCAGCACAGCTGTGTCTCAGCCTGAGCGCGAGTAGAGGGGCCAGGCTCCTCGTCTGACTGTAAGTCTTGGAGCTCCTCAGAGCCTTCCTCTAATGTCACTCCAGGCCCCTCCTCCTTCTCTGATTCCTCAGACTCAGCTGCCGGGTCCACTGGCTGGTGAGGAATCACAACAGAAAAGTAAAATTAAAAGTAAATGAATTATACCCAAAAGTCCTCTTTTCAAATGGCAACTGTGACTTTGTTTTTCCTTGAAGACGTTTCACTTCTCATCCAATGAGCTTCTTCAGAACTGAAGAAAAACAAAGTCCAGTTGTCTTTTGAAAAAGCACCTTTGGGACAACCATGATCTGGATGACTGAGAATCTCCATAGACCAGGGGTAGGCAACCTTGGCTCTTTTATGACTCGTGGACTTCAACTCCCAGTATTCCTGAGCCAGCATGGCTCAGCATGGAAACCTCTCCCTTTCCCCTCAGCATAGCTGGCTCAGGAATTCTGGGAGTTGAAGTCCACGAGTCATAAAAGAGCCAAGGTTGCCTACCCCTGCCATAGATAAATGAACTAGAAGTCATAAATGTTGCGATGGAGATTACTTGAAAAGAAATGACCTAGACCTAGAAAATTTAAAAACCATTAAAGGTATTGAGAACTGACTTAAAAAAAAAAAAGTTTTCAATTGTCCTTTATTTCACTGTTGGTCTGCTCAAATCTTATTCTGCATTTCTCTGTAGGCTTTTTCCATGCACCTGATCTTTTCTTGATTTCTCCTTTTTTTTGTGTCTCCCTTCTCATGCCTCCTTTTCTGTCAATTCCATATCTGCTGCATTGCTTTGCAGCAGTGCATCCCCCAAAAGGTAGGTGTGAATGTTTGAATCTCCATGCTCTGCTACTCTTAATTTGATTTGGCTTCCAAATGGCTGTGGCTGCACTAAGGGGATGGCAGCAGGAAAGCTTATGTGCATCGGTAGCAGTGCGGTAAAATTCAAGTCTTTCTGAAGATTGCATATTTGCTGCGGTCAAATTGAGCATGCTGCGTTTGTATTCTAGGCCAGCTTTGTTTCTCTTCGCAATTATAAAGCTCGTAGATTTCATTGGCGTAGCCAGAATCCACAGGAATGTAGTTCCATTGACTATCAGGGGCACCACATGATCACTTCTATCTTTTTTGGAACTAATCAGATATAGGTAACAATAGGACTTACACATATACCGCTTCGTGGTGCCTTACAGCCCTCTCTAAGCGGTTTGCAGAGTCGACATATTGCCCACAACAATCTGGGTCTTCGTTTTACCCACCTCGGAAGGATGGAAGGCTGAGTCAACCTTGAGCCAGTCAGAATCAAACTCTTGGCAGCGGGCAGAGTCAGCCTGCAGTCCTGCATTCTAACCCCTGCGCCATCATGGCTAGACAGATGTTAATCCTTGGGGTTTAGATCCTCTACCAGGAATTGAACTTTGCACTTCAGATGAGTATGGTGCATTTGTTTTATCCAGTTTTTTGGTGCTCAGCAGTTGCAGGAAGCTATCAGAATAGTTTATACAAAACTAACTCTTAAGAACCACGGAGTGTAGGGAGAAGGTGAGGTTAAACATGAAACTCCTCTAAAGTATATAAAAATTGTTCTGAAAATGATAGCTAACCATATACCGTACTTCACTACAGTTTTCCACTCTTGGGACTTGGTGTCTTCTGACTTATAAGGGAAGCTGTATTGACTGTACGTTCTCCAAGCTGTTCCAAAAATAGCTCTTAATCCAATTTCACGCTTTTTGTAGTGCCACCTACTTATCTAGGGAGGCATTGTAGACACTAAATCAGCCGTTAAACCTTACCAGCTGATCTTTGCCTTCCCCAGGAGAGAACTGAGATTACAGCCTTGGGCAGAGCAAAAGTAATACTGATAGTCCTCGACTTAACGAATACCATTGAGCCCCAAATTTCTGGTTGGTTAAGTGAGTTTTGTGTCCCATTTTACGACCTTCCTTGCCACAGTTGTTCAATGAATAGCTGCGGTTGTTAAGTTAGTAACACAGTTGTGAAATGAATCTGGCTTCCCCATCTGGCTTTGCTTGTCAGATGGTCGCCAAAGGGGATCAACACGACCCCGGGACGCTGCAGCCGTCATTTATACGAGTCAGTTGCCAAGCGTCTGCATCTTGATCGTACAATTTTGGAGTTTTGACGATGCAATTCTTCAACCCCGACTAAATATTTTGTACATTCAAAAGTTGCATCATGAAACCCTGAGTTGTGAGGAGTCTTTGGTGCTCTCTGAGCTTGGTTGTTTTCTTGCAGATGTTTCATTACCCAAACTAGATAATATCATCGGTGCTAATCTAATCTGCTAGCACTGATGATGTTACCTAGTTGGGTAATGAAACATCTGCAAGAAAACAACCAAGCTCAGAGAACACTAAGGATCCCACAGTCCTTCCTTCCTTCCTTCCTTCCTTCCTTCCTTCCTTCCTTCCTTCCTTCCTTCCTTCCTTCCTTCTTTCCTTCTCTTCCACGTCACAAATCCACTCCCTTCGAGCACTGATGATGTTACCTAGTTGGGTAATGAAACATCTGCAAGAAAACAAGCAAGCTCAGAGAACACCAAGGACCCCTCATTTCCACCCCGAATTACAAATATTCTCCTTTATTGGTACCGTGAGATGTGCTGATGTAATTACACATGTTTTCTCAAGGGCTGTAGTACATAAGCAGATCTGTGTTAAAGTGGAAGAAAGAATAAGGTGTCTTTAACCATTCTGTTGAACTTCAAATCTTCCTGGCATGTAGAATAACATACTCAAAACTTACTCGGCATAAAACTCCCATTACGCAACCCCTGCATTTTATCTGACTTAAACTGCACTTAACCTAGCCTGGTTGCAAGAAAAAAAACAACAGCTGTGTTGATTTGTTGCTGGCTTGTGTACTGTATGTCTCAGTGCCTTGGTCTTCCCCTTTATGTGTTGGTCTCACATTTCTCATTGTCACCAAAGACATTTGTGATTTCTTTTAACTCATCCTTCCCACAACGTTACAGCCTCCTGTGGCATATCTGCCAAAGATACTGTTGGTTGCCAGTTGACTTATTTAATTTATAATGTCGCCCATCTCACTATCACAGTGACCCCGAGTGGCTTCCAATATAATAAAAAGGTAAACGAAAAGGTAAACAATGCTTTTTATGCAAGAGCCGTGGTGGCGCAGTGGTTAGAATGCAGTATTGCTGGCTAACTCACTGCTCACTGCCAGGAGTTCGATCCTGACCGGCTCAAGGTTGACTCAGCCTTCCATCCTTCCGAGGTTGGTAAAATGAGGACCCAGATTGTTGGGGGTCAATAGGCTGACTCTGTAAACCCCTGTAGAGTACTGTGGGACAGAATATACATCTGAGTGCTAATGCTACTGCTATTATCTTTTAGTAATAATTCTCTTCCCGTTTAAGACTTGAAAGAGGTATAATTGGCTTAAGTCAGTTGCCTTTTCTCAACCTGTTTTTGTTGTTGTTGTTGATTCCCCAGGCAGAATGTCCACCTGGCTGTTCATGCTGAGAACTTCAAGTCTGAAATTGTTGACGTGAAGAAGATGAGGGACATCTGGTCGTGGATTCCTGAGCGCTTTGCCCTTTGTCAGCCTCTACTGCTGTTTACCACCTCAGAGCATGGCTTCAGCCTAAACAGGTAGTACTTAACTCCATCATTCAAAGTTGGATTCAAAGAAAAAGTTATTAATGTTGCCCCTGCATTGATTGTGTGCCATCAAGTCAGTGTAGACCAGGGGTAGGCAACCTTGGCTCTTTTATGACTCGTGGACTTCAACTCCCAGAATTCCTGAGCCAGGAGTTTGGAATTTTTTCCAAACTCTCAACATCTTTTTTGTGATATGGTGACCAAAATTGGCTGCAGTATTCCAGGTGTGGTCTTACTAGGGCTTTGTAAATCGGTACTAGTACTTCGCGTGATCTTGATTCTATGCCTCTGTTTGATAGGTGTACCACTACTATAACTTGATTAATTGTTTATGAGCCGTCACGTCAAGTACAATGCGTTTTTTGATTGATGGAGCTTTTTAGTTCCTATTGGATTAAACTTATCTGAATGTTCAAAAAAATGTTGAACTGCATTGACGATATTTTTATCCCATCTTGAGATATATATATCAAGCTATATCATATATAACTCCCTTTTTACGACCCCAAAATCCCTTAATTCAGGGTAGAGTCTTATGGAGCTGAGCATTTACTGGCTGGATGCCCTTCCTGATGCCTATATGGAGTTTGCAGCAGATATTTTTTTCTTTGCACCTTGGCGAGAACCATCTGCCGCTATCTAGGATTGAACTCTCAACCTTCCAAGTGGGAGGCAAGCGTCTTCACCATACATAATATCCCTGCTTCATATTTATGCTATATGTTGGTATTTGTGACTCTGCCAAGTCTTAGGGGAATGTATTCAATTAGTAGAAGGTAAATTAATGTTTCAGTAGAAGTTGAATTAATACAGACATCTTTTTATATCTGTGTTTGTACATTAGGTTTTATTCCCATTGTGAGGGACAGGAACCAACTCTCCTTTTGATTAAAACAACTATGCAAGAGGTAAGTGAGAGGGTAAAGAACAGCCTGGTTAGAGAATCCCCTGATGAATTTCATAAGCTTGATGGAAGCAATGTCTAAGGTTTTCTTCCCCTAAATAAAAGCACAGATTTCCATTGTCGCTTTCTTCTCAATGACAGTGCCCTGGACTTGTTTGATGCTCCTGTTTGTTGCATTTGCAACCCAAGATTCATCAGAGGCACACTCAGATATTTAACACACTTGGCTTTTAATCTGCCGGAGTTGAGTTGTCAACTGAAACAGCAGCTATTGTCAGGCCCAAGAAAGACACATGGCATGACTTAAAAGCAGTTTCCTGTACTGTTCTTCACCCGCAGACAGAATCTTGCCAGACTAAAGTAACTATCTGCATAACTATAGATACACCGCTAGGGAGAACCCTTGTTCTCTTCCTGCCTATCAGACATTGCAAGATCCCGCTGTCGTCTAGAAAGTAGCACTTTCCTCCTTGGGAATCCAGACTACATTCCACTACAGCTATTGACTTACTGAAGATAGCCGCTTCCTAAAACAGTGTCCGTTTCCCTTTTAGGTCTGTGGGGCTTATTTATCGACAGACTGGAGTGAACGCAAACGAGGAGGAGGCAAGCTAAGTTTCTTTGGGACGGGAGAATGTTTTGTGTTCAGGGTAAGAAACCATTGTGACTTTCTTCTAGAGGGCTTCAGTATTCAGTTCTGGTTTGAGCGTGCTGGCTTTTGAACTTCAATCTCCTGTCTTTTTGCAGCTGGTGCCCGAAGTGGAACGATACGAGTGGGTTATAATCAAGCACCCCGAACTCGCCATGACTGGCTCCGAACAAGACAACAATTCTCCGGCCGTTTCTGACTCCCCATCCTCCACCAATCTCCCTTCGGATCCTTCCAGTCGCCTCTCCCCTTTCCTTTCAGCCCGGCACTTCAACCTGCCTTCCAAAGCAGCGTCCATGTTTATGGCCGGTAGCACTGAGTGCATCATCATAGGTAGGTCTCTGGTTTTTTAACTTCCTCTCAAAATTGCTGTAGCTGCTTTGACACTTTTATTTATGAACAGCCTAAATCATCTGGGAATGTGGGTCAGAATGGAAATAAACATGCAAAATGCCACGGTTACCGTATTCTAAAAAGATTATACCTGTTTTAAAAAGCAGCCAGCTAATGTCAAAGGTCTAGCAAGCGACACTAAAAATTTACCTCCTTGGCATTGAGTGATTCACGTATAAAACGTCGTAATTATGGAAAGGATGCCAGTTAGATCAAGTATGTAAATTGAGATTTAATGGATACCTTATTCCTCAAGTATTATTATGCTCGTGTTGGATTTTGATAGTCATGATAGTCCTTGGTGCTCTCTCTGAGCTTGGTTGTTTTCTTGCAGACATTTCATTACCCAAACTAGGTAACATCATCAGTGCTAGAAGGGTGTTGGGTTTGCAAAGAGGAGGAAGGAGAGAAGGAGGTGGAGGAGAACTGCGGGGTCCTTGGTGCTCTCTGAGCTTGCTTGTTTTCTTGCAGACCTTTCATTACCCAGACTAGGTAACATCATCAGCGTCAGTGGTGCGCAGAGATTTCATTTCATTTCAACCCTGCGCTACAAATATTCTCCTTTATTGATTTTGGCAGTCATAGTCTTTTAATTCCAAAGCAGCTTGCTTAAAGGAACTGGAGGCAGCTATTTGATGTATATGAAGACATGAGTGTTTCTCTTCCATCACAAAAGTATCGTTAGTCCTTGCTTAATGACCAGGCACATATACCAACTGTTCAATGTTATAATGCCCACCCACCTCCCATCCAAAGTTACTTACAACCTGATTCCGGAGTTCCGACAGCTACCGGTACATACACACATACTCATCACAGTCACACAACTGCATTTCAGGCAACCAGTATAGTTTTTACAGCCGATTGCAGCATTCTGCAGTCATGTGACTGTAAGGTAACAAACATTTTGCAGGTTTCTACCTTTTCTGACAATTTCGAGCAAAAAGAAATCCCCCAGAAATACAGGGTAGTTTTAATAACTACCCAGTTTAATGACCGCTGTGTTTACTTAGCGGCCCTGGCATTTGCTTAATGAGCAGCAAAAAAAAAAATATGTAAAATTGGGGCCGGTCACATGGGTGCCTCAGCTTGTGTCTGTCGTGACGTACGGCAGAAATTCAGGTTCTGTGACCGACATAAGTCAAGGGCTGCCTATAATACAAGAATCGTATATGAGATAGCATCGAGATGTAGACCAGGAGTCTTCAGACTTGGCCCTTTGATGAGTTGTGGACTTCAACTCCCAGAATTCCTCAGCCAGGCACGTGTGCCTGGCTGAGGAATTCTGGGAGTTGAAGTCCACAACTCATCAAAGGGCCAAGTTTGAAGACCCCTGATGTAGGAGACATTCCAAAATGACGCAACGGCTCTCTTGTTTGCAGGTGGTGGTGATGGCCAAGCCCTGTACCTTGATGCAGACTTGAATCACGGAAGAACGGGTCATTGCAATACTTTCAACAATCAGCCGCTGTGCTCTGAAAATTTCCAGATAGCTATCATGGAAATTTGGGGGTTCAAGGACACGATGAACAGCTGAGAAGGTTGCCTCCTTCAAAAAATAATTAGCCCATGAAGTATTTCAGGTTTCCGTGGCCCATTTCCAGTTGCGGGAACCAAGCTTCCTTTTGAAGCCACAAAAATTAAGCTTCTTTGTACTTTGTGAACAGCTCATTTGAGGATCTCGGATAAATCTGGGGCCTCCTTGTTTAGTCACTGTGATTTCGTACGTAATTCCGTGTAGTCTTAAGTGATTCCCGCTCAGCCTCTTTCTGCTCTATTGAGTTTGATGCACAGCCTGATATTTTTTGATGAGAAGGGGTGATCCATAACTCAGTGGATCCATTGCCGTCCCCTGGAGGCATTCAGGTTTTTTTCCCCCCCAGATCTTGACAGATGTGGATCAGCAGCTGATGCAATCCGTAAGTCTCATTCCTGATCAATTTGAGCTTCCATCCAAAGAGAACTGTATGCAATCAATGGATTATGTTGCTGATTTCTTTCAGTTTTCCTTCCTTCTCGCCCTCTGTGTATTACGCCCTTCTAGGGATTCCCTGATCCCCACCGAGCTACAGTAGATGGAAAGATTTTATTGCATAGCACACAAGGACCTTCAGATCCAACCCATTTATTTTTAGGGAGTTAGTTCCTTAAATCTATTTAACCCCTGCTTTTTGTGCGTGTGTAACATTGTCGTACCTGGCTGCTGTCCCAGTTGCTAACTTTGCTCATAATTCCAATATGTGGGAAAATATATTTCAGGAGTCTTAATTAGTTTTAATTCTGCAGTGGCACTGATTTGTAGATGTTAAGGGAACCCCTTACATCATCATCATTTTTCTGTTTACATTCGACTATCCTTCTGCATTCGTGCTTAGAAAAACAGTATTTACAAAGCAGTATTAGCCACCTGAGCTGAAACATTCAGTGCAGAGTAAAGCTATAGTTGACTGGTATGGGACTGGGTGTTTTCAGTAACTGCAGTGTTTTCAGTAACATGACTGCCTCCTTATCTTTGTTTTGGTGTTGTGCGTCTTGATTTTCAAACTCAGTGTACTGAATATGTGTGAATGTGCAGATTTTATTTCTGATGGTGGGGGTTCCACACACCCCCCTCCATCCAGAGACATTTGTGACTTTCTGGCCCCCCGTACCTTTCCCCACTTCATAATTTATATCGCCTCTTCTTCAAGTTGTCATGGCCTAAGTCCGTCTAAAGTGTGTGGGTCTGTGACTGTCCAGCAATCCAACTGATTTTATTGTAAAAAATAAACGTGAGTATGACTTCATTTTTCAAAGCAGCTTCATAATTATTGGGGCTTGCTGTTGAGTTTGTCCGCATCTAAGGTTGCTCCCAGGAATGGGGAAACAAGGTTGTTTGGGTGCCGAGATCCTGAGATTTGGGAAGGGGGGAAAGAGAGAAGCAACCTAGAACTAAGGAGAAACTTCCTGACAGTTAGAACAAGTAACCAGTGGAACAACCTGCCTCCAGAAGCAGTGGATGCTCCAACACTGGAAGTTTTTAAGAAGAGACTGGACAGCCGTTTGTCTGAAATGGTATAGGGTTTCCTGCCTGAGCAGGGGGTTGGATTAGATGACCTCCAAGATCCCTTCCAACTTTATCATTATTATTAAGAAGCAATGGATGGACACTAATCAAGGAGAGAAGCAACCTAGAACTAAGGAGAAACTTCCTGACAGTTAGAACAATTAACCAGTGGAACAACCTGCCTCCAGAAGCGGTGCATGCTCCAACACTGGAAGTTTTTAAAAAGAGACTGGACAGCCATTTGTCTGAAATGGTATAGGGTTTCCTGCCTGAGCAGGGGGTTGGACTAGATGACCTCCAAGGTCCCTTCCAACTTTATCATTATTAAGATTAAGATTGTTTCTGTTCGGATAAACCCAAAGAGTAAGGTCACTGTAAAGTTTCTTTCAAATCACATCTGACCACAGGTGTTAGCCTTTGACGTATGTCCACAATTGAGACCAGGGTTTCCGTCACTAAGTAAGGAGCTTGTTAAGTGAGTCATGCCCAACTTACGACATTTTTTTTTTTTTGCTATGGTTGTTAAACAAAGCACTGCAGTTATGTGAACCACATGGTTAATAAGTAAATCCAGATTCTCCCATTGACTTTACTCGTCAGAAGACGGCTGGGAAGGTTCCAAATGGCGATCACAAGACCCTGGAATTGTGCAACTATTATAAATGCAGGCCGGTTGCCAAGCTCCCAAATTTTGAACACACGTGACTGTGGAGATGCTACAACAGTTGTTAGGTTTGTAAATCCCTTTTTTTCCCAGTGCCATTGTAACTCTGAATGTTGTTGTTGTTGTTCGTCCATCGATTTCGATGAAGACCTTGACATCTTCTGGATTATGGGCCATAGTGACTCTGAATGGTTATTAAATAAATAGTTGTAAGTCAAAGGACTTCCAGGATGTGAAAAGTCCAAACTGTTTTCTTGGAAATGTAGTTGGGGTGTTTTGCGTGCCTTGCCAAAATATTATTGCACGGTTTTCCCCAACTGATACCCTTCACTTATTAATTAGGGCTTTGACTCCTAGGATCTCTAGCAAGCAATGCCATTTCATAGGTTGCAATTATGGGAGGGTTAAATTGATGTTTTTCAAGTGTACAATACGTTCAGACACATCTTGAAAAAGGAACGGGAGTCAGGTAGCATTATCCATATTTAGTCCTCTAGATGGCAGTGGTCACTTCATATACAATTTAGTTGAGCAGTAGAGTTAATTATTTGCCAAGCACATAGTGGGGCTGGTGATAAAACAACTCAGTCAGAATAGAGCTGGAAGGGATCTTGGAGGTCTTCTAGTCCAACCCCCTGTTCAAGCAGGAGACTCTATACCATTTCAGATAGATGACTGTCCAGTCTCTTCTTAAAAATCTTCAGTGATGAAGCACCCACGACTTCTGACGGCAAGCCGTTCCACTGGTTAATTGTCCTCACTGTTAGGAAGTTTGTACTTAATTCCTGGTTGCTTCTCTCCTTGATTAGTTTCCATCCATTGTTTCTTCTCCTGCCTTCTAGTGCTTTGGAAAATAAATTGACCCCCTCTGCCTTGTGGCAGCCCCTCAAATACTGGAATACTGCTATCATGTCTCCCCTATTTCTTCTTTCCTTTAGACTAGCCAAGCCCAAGTCCCACAGCCGTTCTTCGTATGTTTTAGTCTCCAGGCCTTTAATCGTCTTAGATGCTCTTCTTTGCACTTTTTTTTCCAAAGTCTCAACATCTTTTTTGTAACGTGGTGACCAAAACTGGACGCAGTATTCCAGTAACAACATTGTTATTCTAATAAGTTATTCTAATAACAAGATTGGAGAAGTCTTTTGTATTGGCCCTAGTTTAAAAAAAAAAAAAAAGGGCAGTCCCTCTAAAGATTTGGCAAAAAGGTAGAATCTCTTGAGGATGGATGATGTGGTTCTCCTACACTTTGCCGAGATGGGACTGGATGATCTTTAAGGTCCCAATTCCATCATTCTGAATTTCAGGGTATGTGTAATAAATAATGTTGCTACGCCTGACAGGTACAGTTCTCTAAGCATTCTTCAGAAAGGTATCTCTGCAAAGATCCAACCTAGAATTAAGGAGAAATTTCCTGAAGGTGAGAACAATTAATCAGAGCAACAGCTTGCCTTCAGAAGTTTGGGTTCTCCATCACTGGAAGTTGTTAAGAAGAGGTTGAATAGTCATTTGTCCAGAATGTTATAGGACTTCTGCCTTGAGCAGGGGGTTGGACTAGAAGACCTCCCAAGGTCCCTTCCAACTCTGATATTCTGTTATTTTGTTTCCAACCTATGCTTTCCATATAAAGCCATGCAACTTGCAGTGTTTATGAAAAAGGACTTTTCTGTCTAGACAACATTGCTTTCTGGTCCAATTCCAAAAATAAAGATGTTCTCACCTATCTTGCTTTGCTTCTATGTTTGAGGGAAGAAAAACTTAGTGGTTTAAACATATGCAGAAGCTTCACTATTCCTGACTCATGGGAAACCATTTGTAATTGAAATTGATACTAATGGAGATCCTTAATCATCATCACTGTTGTACTTATTTTTAAGCCCACTAATGCTAATGAAGGCAAAAGATATGGGAACTTGAGTGCACATCACTCCAAAGCCTTGGACAGATAGAAAATCAGAAAAGATATAGTTAAGGCAAGTTGCTCCTGTTTACAATGATTTCTGAGCCTTCATTGGCATCTGTTCACTTTATTTAGAAAAACATCCCATATGTTGTCACCTTAAAGAATATTAATAGAAATGGAATATTTCTATTAAGAACTCGTTAAGCTTTGGGATATCTGTCTCAAATCTATATCTATCTGTCTATCCATCTGTCTGTCCATATCTATCTATCTATCATCTATCTATCTATCTATCTATCTTTCTATCTATCTATCTATCTCTGTCTCTATCTCTATCTCTATAATAAAGTTGGAAGGGACCTTGGAGGTCATCTAGTCCAACACCCTGCTCAGGCAGGAAACCCTACACCATTTCGGATAGATGGCTGTCCAGTCTCTTCTTAAAAATTTCCAGTGTTGGAGCATTCACCGCTTCTGGAGGCAGGTTGTTCCATTGTTTAATTGTTCTAACGGTCAGGAAGTTTCTCCTTAGTTCTAGGTTGCTTCTCTCTTTGGTTAGTTTCCATCCATTGCTTCTTGTCCTGTCTTCAGGCGCTTTGGAGAATAGCTTGACTCCCTCTTCTTTGGGGCAGCCCCTGAGATACTGGAACACTGCTATCATGTCCCCCCTCGTCCTTCTCTTCATTAAACTAGACATGCCCAATTCCAGCAACCATTCCTTGTATGTTTTAGCCTCCAGTCCCCTAATCCTCTTTGTTGCTCTTCTCTGCACTCTTTCTAGAGTCTCAGCATCTTTTTTACATCGTGGTGACCAAAACTGGATGCAGTATTCCAAGTGTGGCCTTACCAAGGCATTGTAAAGTGGTATTAATACTTCACGTGATCTTGATTCTATCCCTCTGTTAATGCAGCCCAGCACTCTATCTCTATCTCTCTCCTCTATCTCTGTCCAAAACAGGTAAAGGAATACAGGCGCTGACTTCTTACTTTGGGATTCGAATGGCATTGCT